TTCTAGGTAAACAGCCAATGCTCTTTTATCGTGGGTCGGCTCCCTGCAAGATTTGGAACATACTTATACTTTAAACAATAATAGCACGTTGTTTGTTTGAAACTCAGCTTTATGCAAACCACCCGTCGTGTCATGTTCTGACACTGGCAGCTGTTATCTGAACGGCGCCCCTACTTGGGACCGAGGGGACTGTTTGCTCTTCCTACCAACCTGAGCCGGCTCAAAGGTGAACTGAGGAGACCAGGGTGAAGAATAGAGAAAGTGTAATCTTAAAGAGGTGCTTGTCCTGGCCAGCGGGCCAGGAAAAAGAGCTGGGAGCCAGCGGGAGAGAGACGGCCTAATGTGGACAAGCTAGCCAGCCAGAAGCATCCAGGAATCATCACATTCAGCTAGTTTTATTGTTTAAGGAGCCCTGGTTGTGCAACGATTAAGCACACGGTTGCTCACCCAAAGGTTAGTGGTTTGAATCTGCCCAGCGGTGCCGTGGGAGAAAGACCTGGAGATCTGTTCCCCCAAAGATTATAGCCTAGAAATCTATGGGGGCAGTTCTACTCATTCACATGGGTGACAAAGAGTTTGAACATAGATTCCACGGCATCCACCAATAACGTAGTCTAAGGAGCCCCCGGTGGTGCAAACAGTTAAGCACTCAGACACCTCTGAAGAAGGGGCCTGTAAGCTGCTTTTGAAAAGTCAAAGCCTTGAAAATCCTATGGGGGCATGGCACTGGATGGGGGTGTGTGGCTGGGAGTCTGACTTCACTGGATGGTAACTTATAACAACCACATGGGGGGAGACCAGTCTCTGGAGAAGGACATCCCACTTGTTCAGGGGCAGCGAAAAAGAGGAAGGCCCTCTAGGAAATGGACTGATAGGCCGGCGGCTGCACCCTTAGGTGCAAACAGCAGTGGTGAAGATAATGCTGGATTGGGCTGTTCAGTTCTGGTGTACTGATTCCACAGCACCTCACAACAATGGTTTAAGGAGGGAGTTGGATGGGGTGGAAGGAGTGTGCTTATGAGAGAGAGAGAGAGAGAGAGAGAGAGAGAGAGAGAGAGAGAGAAGGGTTGAGCCCCATTGAGGAGGAGGAGCTGGGCCTCCTGAGGGCAGGCTGGGCAGCTGTTGCCACCCGATCCTCACTGACTCTCAAGCCTGGCTGGCTGTGGTTGCCCCTCAGGGCTCAGTCACGCATAAAGGGTCAAACAGTGTGCCTCTCCAGCCAAAGACAAAAGACAATCAAACCACCCTATGGGTCAGAGGTCACCTAGTCACTGATTGAGATATTCACCACTCACGCCTCTCTATTCTCTCCTCCACCTGGTTGTCCTCCCAAGGCCTTTTCCTCTCCAGCCTGACTCTCTTCCTTTCTCTGTCTTCCCAAAGCCAACGTGATCCCCGGAAATAATTGAGGTGTGATGATTACAAACAACAACAACAACAACATCAGATCCTTTTCAAACTGAAGCTTGAAAAATAAGGTCCTGATGAATTAAGCCCCACCAGTTAAAAAATATCTAGTCCATTTCTGAGGCTCTCGTCTAACCCCCAGGCCAGGGGTCAAAAACTTTTCGTGAGGTCCAAACAAAATCGTTTAGACTTCACTCGCTACAATTTGTCTCCCATCATGTAATCTCCCTCTCCTCCTCCTTTAAGCACAAAAAAGTTATTCTTAACTCCTGGCACCACACAAAAACAAAAGTTTACCATTCATTTCCAAACCAAAAGTTAGCCAAAATCACCTCCATTTTGCATTGTCTGGTATGGATGGG